TATACATAAAAATAATAAATTTAACATAATAATCCAATAAAAAGAATTAACGTAATAAAAAAAATTAGTTAAATGAAAATAATAATCCAATAAAGTAATATTTATTAATATTATATATTAAAAATAATATTTATTAATATATAATAATTCAATAAAAATAATTAATCCAATAAATAAGAAATTAAAAAAAACTTAATAATCAAATAAAGTAATATTTTTTACTATAGAAATATATTATATTAAAAATAATATTTATTAATATATAATAATCCAATAAAATAATACAATAAGAAAGAAATTAAAAAATTAATTAAAATAATTAATGTAGAATAATTCAATAAAATAAAAAAGAAAATTTTAGATATTGCCTTTATACTTTGGTAAAAAAATAAAACTGTAGAAATGATCCATATGGGTAAAACTATCATTTCAGAAAAAAGTTAATAACCAACTTGTTAAAGTTAACGAGCTAAGTATCAAAACCACAACAAAACCAGCAAATAAGGACTTTTTTTTACTAATAAACGTTTTTTTTTGAACCTTACTCAAAGAAATTGACAAACCACAGAGATCATTTTTGCAATTTTGTCTTTTAGTTTCTAGAGTAACATTTTAAATGTGTGAAAATGAACCTTTTTTCTTTTATGTTATATTTATAAATATTTTATCAACCTAAAAATAAAACCCCAACATACCCACATCCCTACGACTTGCTCCTCTTCTTTGTAAGGATACAACATCCAAACATATGGCTAGGTAACATATAAACTTATGCGTGGAAAGCATACCGACATACTTAACACTTAAGACACCTTGTTCCTAGGAATTGATTGAAACATATACTAATATTTGTTAACTATTGGACAGATACGTTAAGTTGCATGCTTCTGGATCAAAACGGTTTTGGAAGCTCGATTTAGCACTATTGCAAAACTCTTGTGTGAGTCAACATTGGTAAAGGTTTCTTCCTCAACAAATTACAATGTAAGGAATTATCATTAAAACCGTCGTCACAATACATAAATGTTCATAACCACTAAGTTTAAACACTCGCTAAACCATAAAATAGAGCTAAAGAAACCTTCGTGGTAGGAATAGCTAACGGTCTATCCAGGAACATCCAGGAAGAATGAGAAAATTCTGCACTAACACTGAATAACCACGCCAGTTGCAATTGGGAGCCTTGCCGTGATAGTTGACACAAAGTAGTTGACACCTGACCAAGCAAAAAAAATATTTAGAATACGAGAAATATCATTTGACCTACCTTTACCCAAAAACTTAGTTATATCATATCGCTACTCTGCTCATTTTAATGCATAATAGTTATATTATATTGGTACCTATTCGTTTTAAATGGATAATAGCTAATATTATATCATTACTCTGCTCGTTTAAACTGAATATATATATATATATATATATATATATATATATATATATATATATAATATATATATATATATATATATATATATATATATATATATATATATATATATATATATAGGATATAGATCCGGTAAGAAATTTTTTTTGGTAGGAAGGTAAGAAGTTTTTTTTTCTACATATTTTTTTGACGAACAAAATAAATGAATCACTAGATGATCCATTTGTAAGATGATTCACAAGAAAAAATTCCCAAAAAAATATTTTTATGATTTATTTTTAAGTAAATTAAGAAAAAATTCATTTTTATGATAATTTTAGTGAATAACAACAAAATCATTGTATAAATGAATCATCGAGATGTTTTTTGAGATTTTTTTCTTGTGAATCATCTTACAAATGAATCATCTAATGATTCATTTTGTTTGTTCGTGAAAAAAATATGTAGAAAAAAAACTTCTTACCTTCCTACCAAAAATTTCCTTCTTATTTGATCTTGACTCTATATATATATATATATATATATATATATAATATATATATATATATATATATATATATATATATATATTATATATATATATAGAGAGAGAGAGAGAGAGAGAGAGAGAGATTGAGAGAGAGAGGTAGGTTAAAATGTTTTTAGTAACTATTGTGTGCCTAAATGCACCAATAAGAATTCAAGAAATAATAAATAATTAAATAAATCATTTAAGGGTATTTTGCACCTTTTGTACTTTTAATTATGGAAATCATTTATTTGAAATCCTACAATTAAGGAAATAAGGTAATTATATTTGACCTACTTGTGTATGGTAGAACACGTCTCCGACTTGCTCAATAGTTGTAGCCGCCTCTGACTTCATGCACTACATCGGATTTATCCACCATTCACTGGTGAAGTTGCAACCAGCCGATCACTATCCACCAATAGTTCCACCTCCCGCCTCCATCAATGTCGTGAGTTCCTCCACCAACACCGATGAAATCGATTTTCTTTTTTCTCATAATTTTATTTTTTAGATTCTTTTAGTTGTTGAAATTGATTTCTTTCTTCGCAAAAATTGATTTGTTGAAATCAATTTTATTGCTTCTCTTCTCATTTGTGAAATCCATTGATTATTTGAAATCGATTTTTTTAAGTAATACTTTCTAATTGATTTGGAATATGATTTTGTAGGATACAAAATTGTTCATCGTGGGTGTTTGTTCTTCAACAACCATCGTCCCTTCATTACCATCCCCATAGAAGTCGACCTCGACCCCAAAAAAGTTCAAGCGTTGAAACAAAAGCTCACCTATCATCCTCTCAATCTCGGATGTAGCCTCTATTTCGGCCATCTGGTAAGTCGATTCAATGGGTTGAAAAAAACATCATCTTTCTTTTAAAATTTCTCTCCGGTTTAAAGCCTCTATTTTTGCGATTTTTGGGTTCTAATCGATTTTTTTTGTTGAATTTAAATTATATATTTTAACTCTTCTGATAGATTTCAATCAGACCATTTATTTGTTGATAATAATATAAGTTTCTCAGGAAGTGATTTTATTTATCCAAGTCCTTTTTTTCTAAACACCAAGTGTTCGACTAATGCCTAAATGAAGATTTACTTTGCAATTTATCACTTGTCCATTACAAACTCTTTTCTATGGTCCTAAGTGAATTGTTACTGAGTTTAGATAGTTCTTATATTTTGAGTAATGGTTTTGTTTTTACTTTTTCAAATAGTTGTTTACCTTTCAATTATTTTTGGTTCAATTATCAATTTATCACTACTAGAAAATAGCCCTTTAATGACGCGCAAACAATGACACGCGGTGATCTACGATACGCAAAAGCGTGTGCCCTAAAAATAATGTTATCTCTTCTAAAATTTGAAGGATAGTGGACACGCTTTTATGCGTGCCTTAAAATTAATGTCAAACAAAAAAAATAAAAACACGGAGGGGCTTATTTAAAAATGGGTGTCGTCTAGAAATGTCGCTTTATATTTTTTTAATGAAAGGCGCATTCTCTTCTTTTTGCAGCTGGGGGGAAACGAAAATCCCAAAAGTTTGAAAGGCCGCCATTGTTACCCTCTGCCTTATTTCCATCGTTCTTCTCTCTCTCTCCTTCTCTCTCTCTATCTCTCTCACTCTAATACCCAAAAAAACCCTAATAACATCACCAATCCTCTTTCTTCTGTACATCTCCCTTCATTCTTTCTCCCCCTTCTCTCTACAAACCTTAAGGCATTCCATTTGATACCACAATTGAACCCTAAAAACTCTCCTTATATTAGGGATAAACCATTCTCCCCCCCCCCCCTCCCTCTCTCTGCAAACCCTAAGGCATTCTATTGCCACCGCCATTGAACCCTAAAAACTCTCCTTATATTAGGGATAAACCACCCAGATTAAAGGGAAAATATCATATCGAGGGTTAATCTCAATATTTCCGACAATAACTTTTTGGAGTCTAAAAGCCCTAATATTAGGTCAAGCTATGGATTATGTACAATCAGAGGTTGATGCTACAGAAACAGAAAGCGACCCAGCCTACAACGAAACCTAAATCTAGCAATGAAACTATGGAGGAGAAAGGGCTTACTCTTCTTCCGATTAGCTCATATATGGTTCAGGGGATTAGTTCATCCGAGAAAATGGGTGGACGTGAAGGGATTAGGAGGAATGGTGGACGTGAAGGGATTAGGAGGAATGCAACCCTAATATGTGCACCGATAATGGCGGATACGGTGGATCAGATGTTGATTCAAATGAATTCGGCGAAATCTTATGGTGCTGACCTCGTTGATATCTGATTGGATAACTTGAAAGGGTTTAATGCCCGAGAGGCTATCTAAACCCTAGTCAAACTCAGTCCTCTCCCCACGCTTTCACTTACAAATGCTATTTCTACATATATTGCTCTGAGAATACGATTGCTGTCATTTCAGTTTCATTGTAGTCCCCTGAGTTGCATGTTGGATTCAGGCAACAAACAGGTGACCCTTCCCTTTTTTTTTCTTCTCCTTGAGATTATTTCTCCTATCCATCAGCTCCATTTCTCATGAAAAATTTAAAAATGCTTTATCAATGAGGGTGAATCATTTTTTTAAAACCTGCGTTTCTATGACTCTATTTGACTGTATATGCCATATTTTTCTTTCATTCTCATAAAATATGTGTTTTATAACCATTAGAATGTATTTTTTACAAATATATATAATCTTTCTTTTTCCTGTTTGCAAGGTACCGAAGAGGGAAAATTGCCAAGGTGCTCTCATTCCAATGGCAATGATAATAATCTAAATCGGTGAAGCCAATGACTCTCGTAAAGGGGCATTCAGGTAACTTCACAATTTCAATATTTTTTTTGTTTTTACAAAATCATCTTTTTTCTCATGTAACTTTTAATAGATGCCAACAGGAAAAGATCATTTTGGACAAACATGAAGAAGCAATAGGTAAGTGTCTAGTGCTTCTACTCAATGCATTCTCTACACACTATGTTGTTTTCTGGGTCTGAAGAAGTTTTTTCATGATTGAGCTGTTTATGTTGGTTTGCATGCATCATGAAATGATCGATTTGGGGGATAGTTTTTCTATCATTCTATTCAGAATGGCCAGCCTAAATGGCAGTGGGTCTTGACACTGGGTCCCATTGGTCATGTGTAAGTAAGATGACACCCTTGATCCCATTGTAAGTGCATCTTTCATGTTCCTTTTTTTCACTTTGTTAATCTTGTTATTAACGTTTTATCATTCTTTATATTGTAAGTGCACATGTACCAAAAATGACCCTGCATTTGCAACAGTAGCAAAGTACAATGTTGCCACGTTTTTACCATAGGGGATCTATGAACAGGTAACTAATTTCATACATTTACTAACTTTTTACCAAAGGGGCTCTACATACTGAGAACTCATATTTTTCTCACATTTCGTATTGGAATTGATGCAAATTTGAATGTTTATGTTGTTGTAGGTGAAGCAGGATTCCTTCTTTCCAGCTGATTTGCAAGTATAAACACTGATGGTGTCTGCTATATTGAGGTCTTCTCTTAATATCAAGTTTATGTTATATGATACATGATACATGAAACCATATAGGTTATCTTTATCTTTTTTATTCTTTTATGTATCAGGCTGCAAATCTTGATTGTGAAACAAATCTTAAGATCAGTAAAGCTTTGGAGAAGACATGAGATTATTTAACTCTTGAGAAAGCCTCAAAATTAAAGGTTTACATCTTTTTTTTGAGATCGAATATTTATGTATTTTGTTTTCCAATTATTCTTATTTTTATTTATTGCATTGCAGAGATGCAGTCTACGTAACAAAGAGTACATTGTTGGAACTGTAATATTTACTGGACACGAGACAGAGGTTTTGAATCTTTCTCTAGGTTCAAATTTCCATTATTACCCCTACTCTTTCATATTAAGAATCTACTTTTAATGCCAGGTAATGATGAATTCCATGAATGTTCATTCCAAGAGGAGTACACTGGAGAGGAAACTTGACAAAGTAATAGCTACACATTTTGGTGTTCTTCTCTCCTTGTGTTTAATTAGGGCCTTAGGCAGGTAAGTGACTAATTTTTGTTATTTATTTATTTTTTTTTTTTTATTTTTCTTGCTTGTAATAATTTTCTCCACAAAACTTTGTAGTGCTGTATTTGTAAACAACAAGTATCACTACTTAATGCTTTGGGTTAATGGTGACTCCCAACAGTTCAATCCAAGCAACAGATTTGTGGTATTGTTTTGCTTGCTGATGTGAGAGGAATTATGTGTGATGTTTCTTTTTTTTATTTACCTTTACTAGTTATGGTATATTTCTTTAAGGTTTTTATTTTAAGTATCTTTGCCCTTATTACACTGTATTTGCCAAATATTCCAATTTCTCTTTATGTTTCTATCGAGGTAGGTTTATAAAGTTATATCCTGGTTTTGCAGCATGATGTCGAAATGATTTGTTTTAAACAGTTTTTTCCTATTTTTAGATGATCAAATTTATCCAGTCAGATATTTACAAATGGGCTGATTTATTAGGAAGAATGATGACTTTCTTGTTAATTTCAGATGTTTATAAAGTGTTGACTTTATTGTGAATTTCATATGTTTACAAATGGTTTGATTTATCAGGAAGAATGATGATTAGGGTTTGCCTTTTCTTTCCAATGCCAACATGGTCACGTTTGCTTGTATGACTTTACTTGACTATTGACTACTTCATGATAATTTTTCTATGTTTATGTTTTCTAATGAATTAAATGTTAACATTAAATTTGATGTTCTTGTTTTCTTTTTAGGATATAATACAAAAAACAAGACGTAGGTTGAGCTAGTGGATATTCTTAGGTGGTGTTAAAGCCTTTTTTTTATGGATCCTTAGGATCTAACAGTGCACTTTTACACAAGGTGTAAATAAATTTTATTTTTTTCTTTGTTTTCTAACTTAATCTTATTCAATCAATATTATTTATATGATAACATTTCTTTCATGTTTCTTGTAGCCATATGTTGATGAGCCTTGGAATATTGGCCTCCAAGTTACAGATATGGGAAGCTTATCTAACATGACTGTTCAATCCGATAAATATGGCCTCCGGGTATTTTTTTTTAATTTTTTTTCATTTATCTTTAAAAATGTGGTTGTAAATATGTAAAATAACTTACTAGTTGAGCAATTTTTCATCAGGTTGCTATTAATGCCATTGGAGATAAGGCCAATGACTTGATCTTGGATATGTATAAATCAGTTGTGTCAACATTTGAGTCATGGAAGTGCAACCAAGTTTGGTGAACAAGGGATTGTTGCTTAAGTGATATTATATTATAGCTTGTTCAAGTCTGCTACCTGTGAAAGATCCTTATATGCATGTTGGAACAACAGTGGATACATGCTCTTGGTTCAATTCAACAACGACCTGACTGGTTGACAACCAGCTTTCTATAAGTATATATGCTTTATTTGTTCCTAAATTGTAGTTTATCATTTCATTTATTAGTGTATGTTTAGACAAGTATGTTGCTACTTCTTTTGTTATCTTATGGACTTCATAGGAACATGACCTAATATATGGGTATTTTGTTATTATTTAATACAAAAAGAACAACTTAATAGAAAAAAGCAAGAAAAATGAGATTGTCCCCATTAACTCCCAACTTTTAACAAATTTGTGTTGCATAACTTATTAGGTCGTATTACATAGCTTATTAAATACAAACACTTGATATATTGTCTGATAATTGTGTTCATGATGACAGAGATGGGATACATTTTACAGCAGCTAGGAGTGGAACAGTGGCAATTGAGATCTAAAACTTGATGAGAGTGAAGATGAGAAACAGAAGCAGGATGGTCAGTAGAAGGAGTTTGAGGGGAAGAAGCTTGTTTCTGCAACCGAAGAAGGTCTAAAATTTGTATATGTTGTATATCTTGAGGTGAGTAGTCTCTTAATTCCTTATCTTTTTTCATTGTCCTTTTCTTTTTTATTAAAATGTATATCTTTTTTTAGGTTCTGTATGTGTACAGTGACTTAATGTTGCATATCTGGATAAAGTGTTGCATATATAAACTACTTTTTATTCCTAGACTGAATAAACCTTCTAAATGAAACTAAATGATCATATATATTACCCTTACATTCCAACAAACAATTTTCAGTATTCATCCATTTTATTTCTCATTTATTACTAAGTTAGGGTATATGGTTTTAGTTGAAAGGTGAAGATGAACAAAGGTTTGTCTCTTTTTATTTCTCATTTGTTACTAAGTTTAGAAAATAAATGGAGACTAAATAAATGTCATAATTTTTGTTTATAGCTCCTTCTCTTCAGTTTGCTTCTTGCTTCCAATCTATGTCAGATAACAATGGAGATTGATGGATGTCGGTTAATAGCCTCTTCTGGAGCGTATAAAGCAGTAAGTTATTAATATTTTTTAAATAAATAAATGTTCCTCAATTTGCAAAATGAAAGGGAATAAAAGTAAATAAATGTCGATATTTTTAATTTGAATGTGGTGGAGTGTCTAATTAGGTTGGTTGAAACCTGATGAGGTTCCCATGGTAAGTGTAATTTGGTGTTTTGCAAGTTTTTGTCACAACAACAACTAATTTCTCATGTTTGTTATGATATTATTCTGCTTGTGCAGCTTGTAGAATCCGTGCTAAGTAAGGTCACGGAAGAGCTTGAGAATCGCATCACTAGTCAAGTTGAACTGGTAAAGCTTCTTAGCTATGTTGTTTCCTAATTTCCTTGCTTGGTGTTTCAAGTATATATAATAATAAGCTACATTTCCTTCTATATAACTTTTTAAACAATTTTTTATAAGGCACAAATATACAATCTTATAACTTTCTACTTTATATAATGTCTAATCATTTGTTTTTTTTTTCAGTCAACTGTTAACTTATAAGTAATTGGAGGTAAGGAAAAATTATAACCACAGATCATTTGCAAATTATCAAATTTTGATTTATTAATACACCGGTAAATGAGGTGAAGGGAGAGGATGTTTGTTTGATAAAGAATTCTGTTACTCTATCTGGTTCGTTATTCACCTTGCATGTATCCTAAATATGTATTGAGCTGCCAACTCTCACTGATAAAGATAAGGAGGTGAAGTTTGTCTTTTGTGATTCCATTAGATGTTTCTTATCATATACTCATTTAAGTTGTAAGTTTTATGGAAAATTGTAGGTTATTAGCACATGGGGAGTACGTAACAAGATTTTTGCAAAGATAGAAAATTTTGAGGTCGGATGCTCACATTTTTCAAGTTGTATGTAATCAAATTGTCTCTTATGTCACATTGGAGAGATTACTTTAATGTCACATTGAAATTTCATCGAATAACATAGCGATAAATAGAAGAAATAGCAATGTACTTTCATCTATTATTTGTATGACATTAAATATTATGCAATGGATTTTATTTTTTTGTATATGGTATTTTAATTTTTATTATGACACATTAAATACAAATTTAATTTGAAAACTAGTAAATCTATAAATAATATATTTTTTAAACATTTAAAATTATGATACACAAAAATGTGTGTCGTCTTCATTTATGACATGGCCTTTCTTGATAGGGGCTTTCTTGATACGCATTGCGTGTCATTAACATGTGCGTCGTAAGGTTACGACACACAAATGCGTGACGTCTTCCTTTATGACAGGGCCTTCCTTGATACGCATTGCGTGTCGTAAACGTGTGTCGTAATTGCGCGTCGTAAATGAGCGTCGTAAATGCGCGTCGTCTATAGACGACGCGCAAAAGCGCGTCGTCTCTCTTTATGACAGGGCCTTCCTTGACGCGCATTTGCGCGTCGTCTGAGCCTTTTACGACGCGCAATGAGCGTCGTAAAAGGCTGTTTTTCTAGTAGTGTATGTTTGTGTAAAGTGCACTAATCTTGTTTGGTTCAATTCTTGCATCCTATGGATATATAATTTCAATAGGCCTAATTAAAAGAATGATCATGAAATTAATTTATATTATCTCATCTCATGAAAATTGAGTAAGTAATTGTGTTGTTGATTTGTAACTTGCAGGTAAACCATTGAACGAGCACAAGCAAAGAAAGTATGAGCAATATTCTACCAGAATGTATACTATGTAGCCTTCCATATGCTATGTATATACTGATGGGGTTGATTTCATATGCCAACATAGTGAATTAATTTTTTTTATTTCATATACCAACATATTAAGGCTTAATATCATATGCCAATATAGATTGGTGAAAACTACTCATCGTGTTCTAGAAAATTGTTTAAAAAAGTAAGTAATTTGTTTGTGTATTATTTTGGTTCATTTTGTGATTTTGAATTCCAATTTCTATTCTCCCTTGTTCATTTTGTGATTTTGAATTCCATATGCTATGTATATACTGATGGGGTTGATTTCATTTTGTGTACGATAATTTTAAATGTACTCTAGGTATTCTGTCAGAATATATTCTGCCAGAATAAAATCTATGTATTCTGCCAAAATATATAAAGTGATAGTCAATTGCAAGCAACATGTTTTTAACCATTATTAGTTTTTGTTGTATTTGTGATAGGAATGACTGGAAGAATGTGTTGAAGACCTAATATGAATAACTTGAAGAATGAATAAAGTTTGAACACACTCACATTTTAATAATGTTGTTATTTTTAAGTAGTTTATTCATTTTTATTAATATTCTTTTAGAATATGTATAATTATATTAAAATGTATAAGACTAGCTTGTCTGTAAGAATATGTATGAATTTGTATTTAAGTTTGGATGTATAAGAATATATTAGAATGTTGTTATTTTCCAACCTGAGATTCAAAAACTTTGTTATTTTTCAATAATATTCTAATAGAACAAAATTCTGAAAGAGCATCATTCTAACTAAAAAATTATTCTGACAGAATAAAATCGGTTATGTTTACAAATTATGTTAGAATTAAAATTGAATTAATTAAAAAAATTCATATTTTTAAAATTAGGAGAATTAATTATCCATAAATATCCAAAAATTTCCTTTTATAATTGTAGTTAATTGTCCAAAATACCCTTTTGCTAAAACTTGTATGATTATATGGTATATGCTACCCCATTGTAATATCATAGACTCTCAAATCATGTACATTGATGAATTCCATCCGTTGGTCCAGATTTGTGCATTCTAACACCCAATAGTTAGTAAAAACAAAATAACCTAACCCTATATATATATATATATATATATATATATATATATATATATATATATATATATATATATATATATAGGAGACGGTTCACTTTGAGATTAAAAAAAAAACGTAGAGATCTTGATATTAAACCTCATCCATATATTTCTCATTCGCTGCTCTAATGCTTTAGCGTACTGGCAACAACGGGATGCCTAATCATAAATGATTATATGACAGAGATGTATAATCATATAGGATTATACATGTTTATACGTATATGATTAATTATAAATGATTATACATATATGTCTATTCACAGATTAAGTAATCATAAATGATTATGACAGTTGGAGGCAGAAAAAGTGGTGGTGACAGAGGTAACGGTGGTATAAGTTATGGAGGTGGCAGTGAGCGGGTCGGCTGGTGTCAGAAGTGGTGGTAGTGGTGGTAGCGGTTATGGTCATGTGGATGGCGTCGGAGGAGAAAGGAACAGACGACACTATATAATCATTTATGATTATACCAGACCTATCGCGCCGGTACACCGGAGGGTTAGTGCGGCAGATGTGAAATAAATGGTGTAGGTTGAATCTCAAGATTTGTATTTTATTTTTAGTCTCAACGGGACATACCTCTCTCTCTCTCTCTGTGTATATATATATATATATATATATATATATATATATATATATATATATATATATAATATTGTTACTCTTCCCCTACAGACATAAACTATTTATACTATGTTGTTACTCTGTCGATATAATATTAAGAAATAATATTGCTAATTATTATAGGTTGTCGTTACTCTACCTGTGTAATATATTCAATTATCATATGTTGTCGTTACTACTTCCGGTGTAATATCTTTAACTATTATACGTTGTCATTCCTCTGCCTTGTGTAATATCTTTAATTATTATGCGTTATATTTACAAAATAATTAGATGCTATAATTATGAAACGATATTATAATTATACAACACAACATTGGCCCAATAACATATAACTATAAGCTAAGGGTACAACCAGTACGGATATAACTAGTAAGACTATAACCAATAAGGCTATAACCAATAAGGCTATCACCAATAAGACTATAACTAGTAAGACTATAACCAGTAAGGCAATAATCGATAAGACTACAACCAGTAAGGCTATAACCAAGAAGACTATAAACAGTAAGGCAACCAATAAGGCTATAACTATTAAGACAACTATCAATAATTATTAGTCCTAAGTAAGCGTGATAGTTATGTATAGATTTATATGGGCAGACACCCCCACCTATGGTGACTAGCTACTTACACAATGGTAAAATCACCAGTGATAACTGTCTGAACTATGACTATAACACCCATAAAATTTTGGCAAAATTTAAACTTTTCAAAAATACTTAATACCATTTAACATTACATAGTTTGTTTTTCAAAATAATAATTATCAGAGTACTCCAGTATCAAATCATAAAAATCATAATAGCAGGAGGAGCGGTACGATCAGGCCTTCACTTTCCCTTTATCACCAGAAGTACCTGAAACAACAAACTGAAACTGTAAGCCCGAAAGCTTAGTGAGCTACCCCAAAATACCAACACCATACTAATACAATCATAACAAATAAACAATACAAAACATAATGCATAACAAGCCTTCAGCTTGACTTAACCGCCTCATGGGGCCTACAGCCTATCTGGACCGCTTCTGAGCCTTCGGCATGACTGGACCGTCTCACAGGGCCTACTGCCTATCCGGACCGCTCACCGGGTATGTTGGCCTACAACACAAAGCATGATCGCCTCAACCCAACCCCCAATTTAACAACTTGTACACATAATTATCATATGCTAGCTCATATCATATCATAGTCAAACCGACCTAACAGATCACTAATCATAGAAATACCCCAATAACCGGGATACAGACCTAACCAGTCGCTAACATAACATCATCCTATTTTCAGGACATTGACCTAACCAGGTCACTACGCATAAGCATATCACCATACTAATTACCAGGATGTAACAATAACATATCACGCCATAACCGGATACAAATGTAAAGGGCTAGCCTTGGTGCCTTTGACCCTATTGATATAGTGAGGATAACTCACCTCGCTAGTAATGCTGAAATACCGCAAATCTCTGACTGCTGTCTCACCGGGAATCCCAACTATTACACAATAAACACCGAAATTAATACCCAAGATAAGCTTCTTAACTAGATGTCCACACCATTCATTTAATCCATTCATGTTATTGGGCCAAGGCCCAAATACCCAAACTTGACTTGAAAGTCCATATATGTGGGTTCAGCTGATCATCTTAGTTCCTCAACTACTTGAATTCAGAATGATTAGTGAATTAACAATACACTATCTTAGTTGCAATATCACACAATAAGAAAACCCAACTGAAATTACTGTAAGTAAAAATCATAACTTTAAGAATGAAACAATAACTAAAATTGACTAGAATAAAATTAATAATCAAAACGTGTTCATCCTAACATCCTACAACGTTCCCAGAAGTAACCTACGTGGTTTAGTCTTCCATAACAATCAAAAAGCACAAAAAT